TCCTCTCCTCTCCTCTCCTCTCCTCTCCTCTCCTCGTGACGTACGTACGTACGTACGTATCCCCGTCCTGCGCTGGGCCATCGCTGCACGACGATGACGACCGCGTCGCGTCTCGGCCACGGGACGCTCGTGACTTTTCGCGTCGATCCGGACGGACGGACGGGCGGCTGAGAGGGCGTGATGGCTCGATATGAGAGTGAGAGTGAATCGTCGGATGCTCCCCCCCCTCCTCCCCCTCCCGCTGCCTGGGTCTTTGCACCCGATGACGTGAGTGTCGGCAGGGTTCCAACCGGGGGGAGGAGCGTGGATGCGGTTGGTGGTGGAATTTACGGCGGCGTAGGTGAGGTTTGTGGAGGGCTGGGGCGAGGAGTACGCATAGTGAGAGCCGGAGGGTGGGTGGATGGGGGTGGATGGGGGATGGGGGTGTGGGTTGAATCCACGAACGAGGATGGGAGGGAGGGAGGCTTGAGAAGCTGATGCTGAAGCTGATGCTGGACGATGGGGATGAGTGAGAAGTGGAGAGACGATGAGAGCAGCAACGAGATGGTGATTGAGCTGCGGGAATGGGCTGTTGTAGTCAGGTAGGTGTATCTCCAATAGGATGTATGTAGCGATAAATACCAGCTGTGGATCTCCTTGGTGGCAGTAGCACCCCCTCTTTAATAAAGCACTGTTCGAGAATTGAAACTCCAATTTGAAATGAAATGAAATGAAATTAGATGAAATGAAAGTACCCATTGGATTTGCTATGCTATGGTCCACTCACTCACCAACTAACACCCAGCAGAAGAGAAATTCCACACAGCAGATAGATATCGAAAAGTACATACATACATGCATGCAATCCCGGCCTGCAGACTTCCCACCTTGAACAAGTCCACGTCCATCCACGCCCAAAGCTTCCATCCGCTACACGCCACTAACTTCGCAGTTCGATTCAAAGAGTTTTCAGGAACCAAAGGTAGTCTCACGAAAAAGTAATCCCCCCAATCCGTCCCTCCCTCCCTAGCTTTCTCTCCTCTCTCCTCTCACAAAGTTGAAAGAAAAAAAACTAAAAACAAGAAGACTAGAAAGCAGAACTTACTTACAGCTCGAAAGTTATTGTTCCTGCTGCTGCTAACACGGTAAGATTTCATGCAACGAAGATAATTTTGATGTCCTCGGAGAAAGCAAGCAAGGATCGGGATTTGAGGCGGACGTGCTGCTAGGTGCTAACCAGTACGACGTACTGTGCTTTCGGGATGTGAGATGGGTCGGGCGTTGAGCTGTCATTGGGTACGGGGTCTGAATGTAGATTAAGGAAAGCTTTGGGGATTGGAAACCATACACATATATATATGTGTGTGTGTGTGTGTGTGTGTGGTATGAAGTGGAGGGAGAGACATACTGTAGACATCTTAAGTTCGATCTTGACGACGAAGAAAGAGCGCCAATTTGGAGTGTCTGATAACAGCGATATAATCAGAGGCAGTTGAATCGTCGGCTTCGCTTAGGTGGACCTCCTCACATCCATCCTTCCAACGATTCACAGCAGAATTGGTCTCTGGAGGTCAGCCTTTGCCTGTGTATGTATGAGGGTTGGTAGCCATGGCTGTGGCCGGAGGTAGAAAGATTCCGAGGGTTTTTGGTTTGTCCTCTGGTCAGGTTCAGGTATTTGTTGCGTCGCGGACTTGAGTTGCAACTGCTCCTCCTCTCTCAGAGTATTGGCGCCCAGGTGTTGCAGAATATATCGACTTCTCTTTATCCTGAATGGACTGTGCTGATATGATACAGAGATTCCGGCGTAACGGTCGTCCTGTATGAATGGTGGCTGGGGATCAGAATCGGGTAGATGTTTCTGAGCTACCTACCCTTTGGTCCTCACACAGACGATGAAACGAGGATATCATGTATATGTATATACATATATATACATTATATGTATCAAGAGCAAACAGCGACTGTCCCGTTCAAGCAGAAGCTGACGACGCTCGAAAAGATGAAGATCTGCCTATCACTGCCAGACCTGAACGTGCTGCTCGAAAGTCAAGCGGTCGTCGCCCCGACTCTCCTCAGCTCCGACCTGTGGAGCGGTGCTTGACGGTGCCGGCCACGTCGATAGAAGCTCGAACGACCCAACTACTACGTACTTGATGTGGATCGGAAACAGCGATCGATGAGCTCGATCAACGGCCCTCATCTCATGACTGAGTTCGGGTGAGTTCAGGCCAGTTCCGGGCCACCACAGCCTAGGAGGCTATTCTACAACTATCTGGATATAGCGAGAAGAGAGATGCCCCTGGATATGGAACACAGAGCCGCCACATCCGCCGCATCCGCATCGTCCGCCAACGCCATCCGTCCCTATTCACGGCGATGATTCGAGATATCTACGATAATGCGGCTGCCATCATCGATCGATAGTACCATCGATCTACCGGTATGCACAGACTCTTCGCCGGATCCCCTCGCCCGGCATCCGGTCAAGAGCATTCGGCGGTTCACTGGTACTGGTACTGGTACTGGTACTGGTACTGGTACTGGTACTGGTACTGGTACTGGTACTGGTTGGTACTGGTACCAGATACCAGATTTTTCCTGCCAATCCCCGATATCCGTCCTAGGCGCGAAACCGTACAGGCAGGAGGACATGGTGAGGAGTGTGTGCAAACTTCCGCGGCGGGACACAACTGCACAGTCATGGGCCCGAGATATCCTGTTGCAGGCCGGAACGAGGCCGGCCAGTGGCCACCGGGTCCTAATCTGCCTCGCGATGAGTAATATCAATATATAAAGCAGTTTTTAAACATCACATTGTCTTGATTCCCTCGGCCGAGATTGTTATCAATCCCATCCAGGTTCCGCGTCGCCGAAGTCAAATGCCGTGAGCACGTTTTCGACGTTTTCAAATCCCGGATCGCATCCTGGCGAATCAGAATGCGTGCTGGGGTCGAGTTCTGCGCTTGACCCCTACGGGCTTGGCAATAAAGCGATTCCTATACCGCCTTCCAAGTCGAGTCTCGACACTCGACTGTCGACCGTCGACTGCTGACTCCTGACTCCTGCTGCCGGCCCGTGGGCCGTGGGCCGTCGGCCGACCGCGCGGATCCGGAAGTTCTAGAATCTCGTCGGTATCAACTGCAGATACAGATGCCCATCAACTCAACACCCCACCACCACCATACTGACAACAGACTGACTGAGCAGCCCACATACATCCTGACAACAAACTGCCATACAGTTAGTCGTATGGACAGACAGACAGGCAGGCAGACAGGCAGGCAGGCAGGCAGACAGGCAGATAGACCGACAGGCAGACAGACCGACAGACCGACAGACCGACAGACCGACAAACCGACATACTAACACCCTGACATACTGATTTACTGACAAACTGACATGGCCAAAGCAACCAACAACTGTGAGTACCAGACGTGCATACTTTAAAAACCTGGACCACCGCCCGCTCTTCAAGCCATCCATCATCTACCGAGTCAGCCGGCCAGCCTCCCCCATCATGGGTTTAGACATGACGACTGATGGATCTCACGGCGACAGCACCAAGCTTGCGTCGGCGTCGGCGTCGGCTTTGGCGACCAAGCCCGCCAAACCAGCGAGGAAGAAGTTTGCGGTGCCGCCCGTGAAATTGGCGTGTCTGGAATGGTGAGAGTCCGAGTCACGAGGGCATCGGCCGATTGCCAGACGGATTACCGATGCTGACGAGATCCCGCAGTCGCGCTTCACGAACTCGCTGCGACGGGAAGACCGAATGCTCAAATGTAAGAATCACCACCCAACACCACACAACACCACAACCCAGTCCCCCGGATCTCTCCGCTGACAAGATGCCCTGTACCGGTGTAGTGCATCACCAGAGGGAAAACATGCGTCTACACGCAAAGCAAGCGCGGCGGATCCAGAATCCGTCGGAAACGGGTCTCGACGGAAAGCCAAAGTTCTCCAAAGTTCAACAACAAGGAACTGAACCAATGTGCGCTGTCCATCATGCCAGAATCCGAAGAAGGTAAGCCAACAGAGGCTCAAGCCCAAGCTCACGCTCACGCTCGAGATCGGCGGGATCTGATGCGTGTGATCTGATCTAGGAACCTTTGCTGCTCCACTCAGCTTGGTCGCGCCCGGAGGGGGCCTGAAGCAACTTGACTTCTCGCTAGATGACACGGATTTCATCTTCGATTCCATCTTTGCTACGCAGCAAGAGAATATGGATAGTGGCTACGAGACCTCGGAGCACGCGGGGACGCTATCCGATGGTGGCCAGCGCGAGGTTCCGATTCGGACCTACTCAAGCGACGAAGACATGTAAGTACTTGAAAGTCAACTTTGAAATCATCATCATCAATCATTCTTACCCGAACTTTAGTTTGAGCGCCTACTACACTTACATCCACCCCTACTTCCCAGTTCTCCCACCCCCAGAACCAGGTCAAGTGACCGACAATCCCGACCTAGGCATCCGTCGATCCCCAGACGCCATCTTCAGCAGCAGGTCCTGCCCCGAATTTGAGCCTTGTTCGCCTCTCTCCATGGCCATCTCGGCCTCTCTCGCCTTGATTCCTCACCCCGACGACAAAGATCCCTCGGGAACCGAGTCCCTGCATCTCCGGCGCGAACAGGCGCAAGCATTCGCGCGATCTGCGTTCGAGGGTATAGAAATCGAGTCGGAACTGATTGATTCAACCGTTCAGCCGGGAGAAGCACTGAGTAGTGACCCGTTGACTTTAGACCGACGGCCGTTTCACCCGAGGAATCCGGTGGAGAATGAGAGTATCATAGCATTGATCATGTTGAGCACGTATGAGTATGCTCAGAGAGGCAATGTTGCGAAGATGAGGAACAGGGCTGGCCAGGCTGTAAATGCTGCCATGAACTTGGGGCTGCACATCAAAGGGGACGAGGAGGGCTACTACGCGGAGGCGAATAGAAGGGTCTGGTGGATGGCTGTAAGTCATCCGAATGTTGCGTATCGAACCATCACTTACCCTCTGAAGTACATCGCAGTGTGTCAGGGATCGATCCTGAGCAATTCTGTAAGCGTGCCCTGATAGATGCAAAGAATCCTGCTGACTCTGGCCTTGACCCCTCCGATTCTCCTCTACGACCCTCGCTTCACAACCATGGGGCCCACCTACTCAGGTGATCCAGGGGTAAGCCACGTTGCCTACACACTCCTTGAGGGCCTTTCTAACACTCCCCAGGCATGGCCCATATTCCTCCAGTCCCAACAAGCCATCACCTCCGCAACGCAATTTGTAATCGACCTCGACGCAACCCTCAAGCAAGGCGCCAACACAGCTGCGATCTGGGACCGTATGCTTGAACTCGAAGCCATCATCGAGCCTCTAATAATGGCAGCCGATACCTGGACGCTTTCTTCCTCGCCACCACTGGCTCTTGACTCATCAGAGATGGTCGTGGGGCAGGCGTTAAGAGGGATTGCGAGGATAAAGTTGAACAGGTATGTTGTTCTCCTCTCGCTTAGCCTCCCTCGCTTCCACGGTGGAATTTCAACACAAGTCCCGAATGTAGAGATGTTCGCTGATGGAGACGGCAGCGCACGCATTAAACTGCACCGATACTGCGCCTTCTCCGACGTTCCCGTCTTCTCGAAAAAGCACTGCGACCTCCCTCCCACGTCCAGACCCGCTCAAGACACAAACCTCCTCACCCCTGTCTCCAACACCAGCACCCCAAACCCAGCGCCCAACTGCGCCTGTAGCAACGCATTCTCCTCCTCGTTCTCCCCCTCCCACTCCTCAAACCACCTGAGCACACCCCTCTCCATGGGCTCAAGCAGCAACATCCTCCCCTACAACCCAACCCACTCGGCGAGAATATGCCTCAAGTCCGCATTCGCCATCGCTCGATCCTTCGCCTCACTCCCATACCCGCAACCATGCCGCCCATCATCCAATCCCCAGACTCAGCTTTCGCAAGTACCACACAGCCAAAATCAACATCAGAACCAAAGCCAGGAATTAAACCACGGCCAATCCCAGCGGCAGAATCCGCTCTCAATGGAATACCCATACTTCCCTAGCATGTCCACCACCACCACCACCACCACCACAATAGCATCCCCAGCAACGATCGCGCCAGCCCACCCCCCACGCATGATCCCCGTCTTTGCCTGCTGCGCCATGCAATCCTCCTACGCGCTCATCATGCTCTCCTACAAGACGAAAGCCATGGACTTCGCTTCCTCCGTCTCCTCATCCCCTTCCTCGTTCCCCCCGAGTTATCATCACCCCACCAACACCAACACGAACACTCACACCTACACCCACACCAACGCTAACTTCGCCAATCCAAACCCGAGCACTGGCCTCGCGAGAGGGGACGGCAAAGAGCCCTCCTCCTCGGCGCAGCGCATGCTGGCACAGCTAGGGGAGGGATTGCAGATGATCTTGGCGGCGCTGAGGAATTACAGTATCGCGTACGAGGCCCTAGGGGGGATGCGAGGTGTGTTTTTTTTTTTTTCCGAGCCATCCATCTATCCACCCATTCATTCTTTCTCCTTTTCTCAATCTTCTTAAATTCTTTCCCCTCCCCCCTTTTCTTCTTTTCTTCTTCTTTTAATTTTCTCTTTCCCACCGGCCTGTAATTTACTTCAAGTGAATAAATCCCACAAAACGAGTACCAAGCACGCAGACACGCACATGTTTGGTTTGCAAACCCATAAATGGCTACGCAATAATAACGGCGGACAATATGAACATGAATATGACCATCTCAGCTAATCCATCCACCTATTATTCTCTCCACCTACAGATCAAATCGACATCGCAGCCACGTCAGTCGGTGCCATCGCGGAGCAGAGTGTGGCGAGCGGGGTATTGGGGGGCGGCGGTGGGTGGTGAGATGAGATGGCTTTATGAGAAATGGGAAATGGGGAATCAGAAATCAGAAATCGGAAATGTGGAAAGTAGAGAGAAGAGGGAAACGGAATAGGAAAGCATGAGGAAATAAGAAGAGGAAGAGGAATATAGAAAATATAAAAAAAAAATCGGGGATGAGGCAGGTGGGAATTGGGAGGGAGGTGGGAGGTTGGAGGTGGGAAGGAGGCGGGCGCTTAGCGAGCGAGCGAGATGTCTATTTGTCTGTCTTCCCTTGGACGACGGGGAGGGGGGGTTGGGGTTGGGGTTGTTGGGGTTCTTGATAGCATGTGTGTTTTGCTGCAATAGCGGCCCTATATGTTTTTTTAGATAAATATTGAAAGAAAAAATGGAAAAAAAAAATTAAAAGGGAAATTTTTTTTGATGAGGAAGTAAGTAAGTCGCAGACGTGAGGAAGTTGAAGAAGAAGAAGTTGAAGGGTTAAAGAAATACACATGCCTTTTCACATCCCTATTCCTATCGTATTGCTATCTACTTGATGTTTATATCGATATCATGAATATGTATGTAAGTAAACTAAAGGCCCCCTTTTTTTTTCTTCCTTTTTTTCCTTTTCCTTTCTTCCTTTTCCCCCCCTTTTTTTCCTCTTCCTAACATCCTCCTCTCCCATCCTCTCTTGAAAGACAAGCTAGCTATCTATCTATCTATCTATCCATCCATCCATTTACACAGCTATCTACCTAACCTCTTCTTACATAAAACAAACGAGCTCGACTCGCTCGAGTGGTTCTTCATCGAATCCCCGTCTGGGTAAATTTGGAATTTGAAATCAGAGATCAGGGTGAGAAATCATAGTGATAAATCATAAATCGCCCTAAACGAACTGAACGAAGGCTTTTATCTTGTCGTATTTTATGTTACCTTCGCTTTTCACTTTTCACTTTGAGGAAGGAAGGGGGAAAGGAAGGGAGAAAAGAAAGAAAAGAAAACCCCTCGGGGTGATGTATATATGAGTATTTATATATATGTATGTGTGTGTGTGTATGTGTAAAAATATATGTATATATATATTATTCTCAAAGAAGAAGAAGAAAAAGAGAAGGGAAAAGGAAAGAAGGGAAAGGAAAAGAAATTGATTGAATACGTAGATAGATAATTAATTACGAAGCCTTTAAAAAGGGAAAAGGAAAGAAACCCCCCCCCCCCCCCCCTGTCTTCGTCCGCGGTTTCGGATTCTCTAATCAAGCAAGTGAAAATACTCGTGATAACCTCAGAAGAAAGTAAAATACATTCTTTTTTTACGAAGACAAGTAAACAGGCAAAGAAAGACCTTTCAAGAAAAGAAAAAGAAAAAAAAATCCCTCGACCCCGAATTAAATCACGTCGTGTTTATGTATACATGATCGAATCGAATCCAAGACTGACCTTCAACCTTCAACCTCTAACCTCCAGCTCTTAAGCCAGCAGTAAGCGAGCAAGCAAGTCGGTAACCACATCTCCCCCTCTCCTCTCTCTCCACGAACATCTAATCCCAATCCCAAGCCCAAAAGACTCCAACTCCAAAAGCCTTCCCAAAGACCTACAAAGAAGAGAAGGGGAAAAAAAAAAAATCCCGCCAATCCATCCACAAAAACCCCCCCCCACTATAATGTATAAATCAGAGTCAACAAAATTCGACATGTCGAAATAGATATTCGGATACCCATTCCTCCGCCTCCCCGCCTCCTTTAGTAGTAGATGTTACAATATATATATATATATATATATACACTTACCCATCTTTGAGATCCTCGAAATTCTTGAGACTTTTAAAATTTTGAAAAATCCGACCTTTTAATCTTCCACTTCTACACGCCAACCCCTACACGCCATCCATCTCCCATCCATCCCCTATGCATCCACCTACTCTCAACCAAATGAAACTATCATTTAAATATCCTCCCGCAATCAAAACTCAAGACATCCCCCCCCACCTAAAAAAGGAGAAAAAAGTGGGGTTTTTTTTTTCTTTTCAAATCACGCAAGATTTTCCATTTGATTGATCTACTGAGTAGGTACATAAAAGTATGAAAACCCAACGACTGTTTGTCAGTCCATACTCTCTCACACCACTCTTCCCTCTCCCATCTCCCATCTCCCCTCTCCCCTTTCCTTCCCCCCCCCCCCCCCCCCTCTCCACGTTCCCTCCCTCTCATTTCCCGTCTCATCACCCTCCCTACGCCCGTCACATCTTCACATCGACCATGGTATACTAACTACACCACCAGCGTCACCACTACGGAAACCAAAAACAGTGCGCGCTATCCAATCTGTACACCCAAGCAAGAAAGCACCCACCCACCCATCCATCCATCCACCGATTAAAAGTAGCGCGTACGATAATGTAACGCGGCGATCCCCAAATCCCCAAAGCGCCCCCACAATCAAACTCTCGAAAACGTAAGCAAAAAATGCAAAGGCAGGCGGGCCATCTTCTTCTTCTTCCTGCTCTTGCTTGCTCTAAGGTTTATATATGTGGTGTTCGCCCGTCCAAAAGAAACAAAAGAATCCCCCCAAACGGGGTTAAAGGCAAAAGCTAGGCGGGGATGATAAATGCTGTGAGCCGTCCATGTACCTAGCCACGTAGGTCAAGGTGGACCAGACAGACACAACAGAACGCGAAATGCGAGACGTGCCACCCTTGCCAGATGTACCTTCCTCCTCCAAACACCCCATTTCCCAATAGGAAAACCAACAGGCAAATGGCGTGACCAGGTAAGCTTGGATCTCTCAAGCGCCTTGAGCCAGCTCCTGCAACTTCGCCTTCTCCCCATCACTCAGCGCCGCGTAGTTCATATTGAAATCCGCTAGATTTTCCCGTCCAGCTCTGATGAAAAACTCGATGAGATACGCTTGCGTCTCGTCGTCTCTCTGCCTCTTGAAATGTCCTTGGCCTTCACCATAGGCCATTAACTCGGCCTTTGTACTACCCAGGCCAAGATCCAGAACATTAGTGTGGACATCCTCCCAACCATCGTCGTCGGCCTCTTCATCCGCAAACTCGGCGGCCGCGGCAGCAGCCAGGGAATTGGAGTGCCCCGATGCCGAGAGCAGTTCTTCAATAAGGACTTTGAGGATTTTGAGTGGGGCGGGGATGATGGTGTACTGGTCGGGGTCTGCATGCAATGTCAGCTAAATGTAAGGACGCGTGAGGGATGTGACGATGGAGTTTGATGATGGGGAGGGGCATCATAGCAGGGTAGCTACTTAGTTTTGCTTGTGACCTGGTCATGATCCGGTCGCTTTTGGGAATGATAAGTTCACCTTTAACCATTGTCTGGACGACGCGCGGGTCGTTGAGGGTAAAGAGTTTGGAGAGGGCGATGACGCTATGTTTCGTTAGCACCAATAGATCGGAAGGAGATGGGAAGTGTACTTTTGTCGAATCTCATCGTAGCCAGCGAAGTTAATAGAGCTTTCCAGCCACTTGCTGAGCACAACTTGCAGGCCATTCTGGCCATTAATCTCAATCTGAGCCAAGAACTCTACAACATCATGGGCACCAGCGAGTGAGAGACGAGCGAAGACCAAGATCAGTGATTGGATGAATGGCGCAGCTTCAGCGGTTGCAAGCCGTGATGCAACCGCGCGCAGGAGTTGGTCCAGGTACGGACCCAGACGCTCTCGACCAGCCTTCTCAACCAGCTCTGCAGCAAGACCACCTACTTCCGAAGCCGCGTTGTCTTCGATTGCAGGGCTGAGGAGCTTGTCGATAATAATCAAGCAGACCTCGAGACCGGATCGGTTGGCCTCGTCTTGCCAAGCAAATACTTGCTGATGATCGTGCATAAGCATGAACTTGATAGCCTCGGCACCGGGTCGGAGAACGCCACCTTCAGTGGTAGCCATCAGTAGGCGGTTGAGTTTCGGAAAGGCCGCAGCAACGTATCCAGGTGGGAGTGGCTCGGAGCCGTTTTCGGTGAGGACGGTAAGCAATTCGGTAGCGAGCTGAAAGTGGTTAGCAAGGGAAAGTACTCAGCGGTCAGTAGACGTACCTCCACCAAGGGATCATCTCCAGTCATGTCACCAACATCAAATGCACCAGTCAAAGACGGCAAGACCTTAGCGCACAGTGCTGTGTATGCATGGCTTCGTGACAACGAGCTCACAATTTCCTCAAATGATTCGCTGACTAAGATAGTCAATTGGAAGTTTGCTGCTCCGTGCTTAGCGAGAACAAACAAGAGGTCCAAAGCGCCACTGTCACTCTGGACCGTGATTCTTGGGTCAATTTGAATCGCAGCACGCAGCGTCTCGACCAGAGTGACCAGAAGATCATCGGCATCCTCAAGATCAGTCAAGTCCTTTGAGTACAGGTATTCTGAGATGCATGCGATGATAGGAACTTGGCGGTCAGCTGGTACCGTGCGTGCCTGGACAAAACCTTGGAGCGCCTTAATGCAAGCGACCTTGACCACCTCGGCATCGTCACCATTTACGCCCTTGATGGTGCGGTCAAGTAAGCTGAGTGCAACTTCTGGAATGCTTTGGACCAGGATACCAGCAACCAGGTAGCCACGAGCTCGGAAAAGAGGTTCATCGGATCGGTTGATCGCGTAGTCAACCAGCGGCATGTATGCATTAGCTATCTCTGGCGTGACAGCCTTCTCGACATCAAGGAAGTCGCTCAATAATTGCGTGAGAAGGAATAAGGAAGCCTCTTTTGTCCTCCAGGTAGCGGGTTCGTCGGCGAAGAGAATCCGGGTATATGCCAACAAACCTTCAAGCGCACCTTGGTGTAACCACTCGCCTAACTTGATCAGCAGATCTCCGCAGGCAGTTCGAGCCGTGTAGTTTGCCGTGACGGAGGTTTCCTCGGCCAAGAATAGGTTGACATCAATGTCCCAGAGATCTTCTTCCTCTTTGGGAATTTGCGCATATTCGACAGCCAACTTCATGACATCCATAACCCAGGAAGTACCAGAAACACCGCCTTGCTGCTGCAGTTGTGACTCGAGCTCTTTCTGAACGGGCGGTGCTCGCAAGCATGATTGTAGAAAGTCAAGTTCCTCGAGTACCAAGAAGTCAAGTGTGTATGGTAGGCCATCCGCATCCTCCAAACGTCCTTGCTCATCATTATCCACGTACATTTCCTTGTACTTATCCTGCAGCAGCGAAAGCTCTTCCCAAGTAGCAGTAAACAGCACAGGACTTTGTGGAAGCAACAGCTGTGGAAAGACCGCACGAATCTTCATCAACGTCTTGACCACCTGCAACTTCAACGCAATCAGACCTCGCCACGATTCCGGTTGAGCGGTCCGCTCACTTTCGTATCCCTTGTCACCACTCGTAGGTTTATCAGGAAGGGGCTTCTTCATAATCTCCATAAAGAACGGCAACCACGCGCTCAATGCCTCATCTGCGAAACCCTTTACTTCGGGGCCATGCTCATCCTTGACCATATCCATAATATCGAACGTGCCTCTAAACACTGAAACGGCCAGAGAGCGCAGGAGCGGTTTCCGCGACTCGCTGACCGCCACATCGTACACCACCTTGACAATATCGCGCGCCACCGAGAAGAACTGGTCCTCGCTCAGCGAATCCTCTACCAGATCAGACAGAACTTTCAAAGCACCATGGAGTTGGTCCTCCGCCGCGTTGGGAATCATGTGAAGAATTGCAGGAAGGAGACTCGGCCACTGGTCAGGAAAGTCAACATTGGCAATCTTGCTCACAACGTATCTATCGGATGCACATTAGTCTCAATCACCATAGAAAAATTGAAGTCAATGCACCTACGAAGCAGCGCTCTTGATCTTCCGATCCGCCTCCCCACTCGTAGCCAGCTCCAGCATCTGCTGCCTCAGCGCCTCCTTGACCTGATCGTCCAGCAGCACCACGGGCCCGTCATCGCTCTCGCCGCTCCAATTCCGCTCCACGAAGGTCCGCAGCATCAGCAGCGCGCTCTGTCGGATCTGCGGGCTCACGCTGGCGTGGCTGGCTATGGCGGCGAGGGAGACTGGGAAGGCGGGGTTGCTCTTTGCTTGCTCGAGGTGCTGTTCTGCTTGTTTGCGGGGGCCTTCGGCGGAGAGCTGCGTGTCGGCGAGGAGGGAGAGCAGCTGTTCTTCCATGGTGGCGACCATCCCGGCGGTAGTTTGTGTAGGCAATGGTTGACGTCGACGTCGTCGTCGTCGTGAGGGTGTGCACGAAATGAATTCGTGGTGGGTTGAGAAAGTTAGGAAAGAAGGTAAGTACCGTAAAGCTTCGAGGTCCGAGTGCAGACGGAGATGCACTATGCGGTGGGCGTGGCTTGGCGTGGCTTGGCGCAGAACACATCAGATAACTACCGATCATAGGCGGTCTATTTACTTATGACAGACTCTTGGGATTCTCTTTAAAAGCAACATCACGACGACAACGGCGACCATAACAACAACGAAAACAAAAAAGTACGAATCCTAGCAGCAATTCCCATCACCGCTATCTCAAAGGATCATCATACACTAGCTTCGACACTAGTACTTACAGCAAATATATCTACCCCGCCATGCCATGGCCGCCCACGTCGAGCCCCTCCACCTCACCACTCCCCTCTCCCTCCAGCAAACGCTCACCTCCTTCCTCACCGTCGCCATCCACACCATCCTCTACACGCGCGCCATCTACCCGCCCACAACCTTCATCACAACCCGTGCCTACAACTTTCCTGTGCACCAGTCGCGCCACCCTGCCGTTTGCGACTGGATCAACTCCTCCATCGCATCCATTGCCGTGCTGCTCCAAAAAGGTTCCGTCAAGCGGATCGCCGTCCCGATCTTCAATGAGGACGGGCAGGTGATGGAACGGTTTATGTTTGATGTGGAGAGATTCCCGGTTGTGGGGGAGAAGGAGCGCTGGACAGAGTTTGAAGGGGAGAAAGGCGTTAGGAAGCAGGATGTCGAGGAGCAGTTGAGGGGGACGGTGAGGAGGCTAGATTATGCGTGTGGAAAGCTCAAGCCGCTGCCTGAGGGGTGCACGTTCAGTGTGGCGGTTGAGTTGCGGGATGAGGCGGAGGTGCCTATTGGGGTGAGTTCTGGTAGCTATGGGAAAAGGGCTGTGCTGATCTGGGACTAGAATCCACAGCCTTGGATACCGTCTGAGCCGAGCCTGCAGACGGGAGATAAGGCCGGGAGTGAGACGGTGGGAAGTGATCTAGGAGGCGTAAAGAGTACGCCAGTGAGGTTGGTCGAGGCTGGCGAGTTTATAATGGAGGCATGGATCGAGGAAGGGAAGGCAAAGTTTGAACATGATGAGTGAGAAGTGCTGGATTTATCTTGAAGCGATACGCTCTTCTGGGAACCTTCTCCTGTGAGACGTACACGCCAGGGATACCACCATCCTACTAGGAGTCGTCGAGTGGTCAGCCGAGGCCTCCGCTTTCCCAAACCCCGTCCGATACTGTTGAGCAAAAGCAGACCTGCAATGAACATTGCAGTTTCCAGTACTATAACTCTATTTGCTGCACGACAGATATATGAAGCCAGAGATGGCTCACGGGAGGGATCATGTGGAAGCTGCCTATAATTGTGGAGTGGCTGCAGCCAATCTGTGTTGATGAGTGTAAGGTCAAGAATATGTAAGCCGAGACTATTTCTGTACCACAAAACCCAGTCCAACCTGAACCAACTGTCAAGCTAACTAATCATGCAGAAACCAAAAGAAAGCCAATGTCAGTGTTTCCGGGCATCAAAGTATGGCTCTCATCCTCATGAGACTAGAACCCGGCAACATGGGCACCGCGGCGCTGGGCTAGCCCGCATCGTGCCCGTGGTGGGTGACAAGCCCTGCGAGTATATGCATCGCTTCCATTTCTTTCACAGCCTCTGGCCCTGATATAGCCGGCTATAGTCGTTGCGATAAGTCTTGCTGCTATCGCAACGATGATGGCGACAAAGCTATTGGTACATCACAATGTTATTTCAGCATTACTTCCCATCCTGCCCCACTTCCTACTTGTCTCTCAAACTATCACCAGAATTCCCTTTCCCTACAACGCCTTCTCCTGTCTAACCGCCCCCTCCTTCTGCATCCCCTCGCACCCCGCCGCCTTTCCCGCCATTTCCTCAACCTTCCCGCCCAGGCCAGAAGCCGTAGGCTCAGAAGTCTTCTGCGCGTTCGCGGCTTTCATCTCTTCGATTCCGGCCGCAGTGTCTTTCTTGCCGCTGTCCTGCCACTCTTTTGAACCCGTCAAGTTACCAACCTGCAGAGGTGGAGAGGTATGTCAGCGTTGCGTTACCTGAACATTCAATTCGGGTGTGAGTTGAGCAAGGAGAAGGAAGACGAGGAGTAGGATGCGTACGGTTTCCTCAACGTAACCTTTTGCGTATTGGGCGTGGCCGCTGAGCATGCTTGCTGCGTTGTTTGAGTTGTTGGAGGAAGAGTTTGGTGCCGACATTTTGATGTGATAATCGTATGATAGATTTGGGGACAATTCCTACTCGTTGAGTTCTGGTAGTGGAGAGAGAGAGAGAGAGAGAGAGAGAGAGATAGAGA